CACACACACACACACACACACACACACACACACACACACACACACACCCCTGCTCACAGCAGAGTCTGCACTCACTGGGCGGATCCAATTGAATAAATATGTAAATCCATCCCACGGAAGCTTCAATGAGAAGGGACTGTGACCGGAATGAATGATTAGCCGCTCTCCCTAGTGTCGTAGGGGCTTCAAACAAATGCAAGTGCTGCACGGAGGTCCCAGCCCCAGATCGTAGCATTAAAAATAAAGGAGACAAGCACAGTTCCCAACCTCTCCCAAGTCTGGGGCTGAGAAACTCACGGCACATTCCCTGACAAAGGAGTGGGCCGCAACTCTCACAGAAGCCCACTGGCTACACATATCTGCCATCCCTTGTTTGATGTATGAGTCCCAGAGGCATTAATAGCTATGTTCCACCTCCCCATCCCCTCAGGCAGAAAGAGAGTGAGGTGCGTGTTGGGGGTAGGGTGGCAAGGCCCAGGGGGCAGGGGGAATTCCTAATGAGAAAAACCAATTCTCTGGCTGTGATGTAGGGTCATGAGGTCAGTGCCCAGGGCATCTTATTTTTCCTAGACCAGCAGCATCAACCAATTCCCATGGAACTGAGGTTAGAAATAGATTACATTAGAGTTTGTGTTGGAAACACACACACACACACACACACACACACACACAGAGACACACACACACACACACACACACACACACACACACCCCCGAGCTGACTGTCTGAACTCTCCCACTTGGGCAGCTCACTCACCCCTGCTCTGTCCTGTCTTATCTCTACCCCAGGTTTACACACACACCCGCTCCCTCGAGCTGGGTATCTGCGTTCCCCCTCCTGGACCCGGACCAAAGCTGAACAAAACAGAGAAAAAAAGCATCTCAGTGACTCTGAGCTGCAGGCTGGGGTCGTGGACACTTTTCTCACTATAGAGAGGCCCAAGGAAGACTAGGCTCTTTTCTAACCTGCCCTGGGAACTGCATTAAGGGGCCAAGATGGGAATGTCCACAGTTGCACTAATCACAAATTCTGGACGATTTGTGATGCTGAAAATAACCTTGACCTGAGAGACTTTGGCAAGACCTGCGGGGGAAAAGTTAATTACGCAGCCCCTCCTTCATCTCTGCCCAGACTGCTTTGCTTCCTTCAGTCCCATTTCCGAGAGGTGGAGTCAGCTTGGTATGAGCTGAGCCATCCCTCCAGACTGCCAGTGTCCTACGGTGACGGCTGGCAGACAGAGGGAGAAGGGGTTGGAAGGAACTGGCAGGAATTTTGGCACTTTAAGCTCCCTCTGTCTTGAGGTATATGCCAGTGCATTATTGGGTCTTCAGAGCTGGAGGTGTAGGCTGAATTTGCCTTGAGTCCAACATTCTGGCAATGCTGGTCAAAGGAGAAGGAGTGAAGGTCTAAACCAACAGATTCTTCTAAGACAGTTAAGTGCTATAAGACAAAAGCAAAGCCCAGCCGCTGGGTTCCTCCCGCCACCCTTTAGTATAAGCACAGTCTCTTTCCAGTGGCCTTACTCACATCTTCTCTGTGCATTGGATCAAGACCTACATGTATTTTCTGTGGAATGCTACTGCTTAGAAACCAGGACACTACACCTCTCACCTGATCAGAAGCTTAGCATCTCCTAGGGGGACTGCCTGGCACCCTAGCAAAACCACAGTAAAATCTGGGACGGTCCCCAATGTTACAGGGATCAGGTGTGGGAATGACGGTAATGGCGGCCACTTCTCCGACATCTGTGTACTGGTTTAAGGGACCCAGCTTCTCTCTGCTTATCAACTCTTCTGGAAAGTTCCCCTTTTCAGAACTGGTGCTGTCCAGCTCTAAAATGGTTCTGGGAAAGGCTGAAGAGTAGAAGACAGTTCAAACTGGTAACATTCAATTTACTTGTTTATCTCCAGACCCAATGGATGGCCTTGAGGTTCCCCTTTTTCACAAAAGTGGCACCAAATTCAGAAACTGGAGTGTTTGCATTAGAAGGAAAAGGGAAATTGCTTTTGTGTTCAAATTCTAGAGGTTGCCTAGGGGCCGAGGACTCCCTTCTGAAGATATCCATACTGATTTGATTCTTGCCACACTTTCAGTCAAGGGAGGTAGAGTTGGTGACTAATCTCCTGTTCTCTCCTACCACCCATCCTTCCCCAGAGTCCTTCCTTGGGTGAGAGAGCCGAGCACTAGATCAGCTTTGTAACCTAGACCCTTTATGACTTCTGGGCTGGGCTTTCTCTTGGTCACCTGAAGACTGAGGGGACTCTGGCCCCATTCCCTACCTTGCTCAGAACACCAAATAATGCCAAAACTGCCTAAAGAACCACGGCACCTCCCTTAAACAATTAAGGAGGGGGGGAGGAAAAGAGGCTCATGAGACACTCCCCCTTTCCCGCCCGCCACAACCTTCTTAATGGGCTACTTCTCATGTTCCAATAACATGGATTTCCTGTCCTACACATCATCTCCAGTTAATCTCATGTAAACACATTATACCCTAAAGTAACTTTGAGCCTGTGGCTGCCTGTTACATCCCCACCGTCCTCTTTGCATCCATATGGTACTGTCTGGCTTGGTGTCACTTGATGCTGAAAGGAAGCAGGGACCATTTTTTCTGGCTGTGGCTTCTGCCCAAAGGAGGGACTTCGAAGATGACAACTTCTCACCAGCCGAGATGCAGGAAGGTGAGGGAGACCTAGAAGTCCTGAAGAGCCGACATCTCTTCTAATCAAAGAGGTGCCCAGCCCAGCTGCTTGCTGGCAGTCCCCACAATGTTTAAATTCCATTGTATTAAACGGCAAGGAACCAGGGTCACCAGACTGGCACCAACCGATGCCATGTCAAAGAATGCTTTCAGAATAGGATCCAAACTCACTTTTTCACTTGAACCATAGATCGTGGGGACCTTTGACCATTTTCCTTTCTCCATTCAAGCTCCTGATATGGATACAAAGAAGGTTCTTCCAACGGAGATGGAATCAAATAAAGTTGAGTCAAATCTCTGAATCCCTGCTGTTTTGCAGGGCACTGAGGGAGTAACAAGGAAGAACTAGCAACGATTCTGGCCCTCAAGCATCTCGCAGATGCCAGTGACAGGAGAAGGCTTAGGGACTGATTCCCTGATTTCAGGGGCTGTTAACCAAGCCACTTCCCAAGAGCTCAGTAGTGCTGGCAAGTGGCCAGTTGGCAGATGTACTGGCACCTCTCACTCCAACTGACATGTACACGCCACTGGGGGCTTCTGGCTTCGTTCAGCTGGCTGGAATACTCAACGCTTGTGTGTTTTGCTCTCCCTTCTGCAGATACTTACAAACCAAGAATCTGTTAAGATGAACACTACCCATTGCATTCAACAAATACGCCATCAGGCCTGCTGTATTCTTTGTAATTAATTTCCAGAAAAGCAGCCGTATTAGAAAGTGGAGAAATTTGCTTCCCTAAATTATATAAAAAGGACCAATTCCTGGGTTAACCTTTGTGCATTTTCTTCCTGAACCAGTTCTACTACTGGGATATCAGTATAGCCAAGTAATCATGTCAGTGGGTCAAGGTACTGAGCAATATGATACTTGCCCAACACAATAAAAATAAATTTCTCACCTTGTTTTGCTTTTCAACTTTATTACATGAAGGCAGCTAGAGCAGCACGACAGGCACATCATCTACTCATCTGTGACCTGTCCCTCTCGTGTACTGTACCATTCATTAGTTCATGTAGCAGCTTTCTATAGTGTCATTTGAAAAAAAAAATGGTATTAAAACCTCATCCCCTTAATTTGAAGGTGTCTCCTTGGTTTCTAACTTCCCAGTGGACATCAGAGGAGTTATCTAGAGCAGGACTGCATGTACAACAGCGCGAGAGCGAAGGGAAGACAGCAGTGCTGAGGTCAGTTCAAGCTGCCGCAGTGGAGGCTGAGCAGGCAGGTGCTGCTTCCCTGGAGGAGACGATGCCTTTAGGATACCCACAGGCTTTCACATGGTTTCCCAAACTGCCAAATGCCACTGGAGCTCAAACAGGCGTATCTGGGTCATGTTCCAGGGAACGTTGGCCTCAATTTTCAAGCCCAGAATGATACTGGTGATGGGGATTTGGAGAGAAAATTTTAAAAATCTTATTTTTGTGCAATCCCACTAAGTGTCTTAGACAAATGGATGAGGCGGGAGAAGCACCCTTGTAGGCCACTTCTCCTTCTATTGGATGGCTGTGAGCGAGAGAAGTGTCAGGGCCTGAGAACAGCTGACTTTAGCCAAAGACCAGAGCAGCGTACGCCAGGTCTGAAAGGAGAGAGCTGAGACAAAGATCTGTTTAATAGACCAAAAACCTACTTATGCTTCGGCTTCTCATGTAATTCAAGTAAAAATTCAGTATGGGGCCCGAGTTAGCCAGCTCATGCTACACCTCGGCTCCTGGCTTTGATGCTAGAGACCAGCCCACACAGAACTCTTCTGGTTCTTACTGCTACTCGCTAAATAGCCAAAAGGGAGGATTCTGGCTCATCTGCCTACAAAGTGGGAGGAAAGGGTCTGTAGACTTGTTTTTCATAGAACATCCTGAGAAAGGGTCCATGACACAAAAAAAGGACATGAACCTCTGGTCTAAAATCCCTAAATACGAGCATCCATGTACAAGAATGCTCAGTTTCCTGTTCTGGTAGAGGGAGGAATGAAAGACCGTGTTAAAAGATTTCTATTATGTTAGTCTCCTGGTTGACTATAGACAAGGTAACTTTGTTTTCGGTCTAACCCAAATTAGCAGCTCACAGACCAGACTAGAGAGGAGAAATGACCTCCTTCCCCATATTTGTGGAGATCACCATCAAATTCTAGTGCGTGCTCACATTTGCTGTGGGTTAGAGGCACGGCCTTTGACCTGAAGTAGCTCACAATTCTGAAGAAACAAAACAGACACATTCGTTTCCATTCGAGTATTCCATGTTTATTAATTTGTTTGTAGTTTGCTTCATGGTTTCTCATTTCATTTGGTGGAATGCAATTTAAAATGCCATTCCCAATAGCTGAAGTGTTATATAATACAACATAAAGTATCATTTCAGAGGGAATGGATTAGGATAAGCAATTCTAACCCATTCCCTTCCTCCCTCCACTTCTAATAATACATGCAAAAATAAACGAGGGATTCCCCAAAAGGAAATATAAGAATTTTAGAGTCAGCTAATTGTTTAAGAAAAAGAATGCTCCAGATGCAAAGAATGTTTTTGTGTTTTTTTGGTGGTGTTGTTTTTGGCCAGGGGAAGATATAAAACAAAAAGGTGGAGGTAAGATAAATTAAGAAAGTAGGATAAATTAAGGCTGAGAATGACTAGACAAGCAGCAGGAAACATCTGTCATTATTTCATGCTGGGCCCAAATAAAGGACCATGACCCTGAACATAGGTAATCTGAGTCCGAAGAGCCACATGAGGTCCTTGAGAAGGGAGGGGACCTTGGCATTTGGTGGTTGACGTTTATAATAACTGTGAAGGCCGGGAAGCAGAGGCCAATGCAGGAGTGAGCTCACAGGCGCACAGCCCTGGAGCTGGGAAGGTTCTCGAAGGCCTTCTAGTCCACTCCTCCGCCTTTTAATGCTGAAGAGATGGAGGTGAGGGATTCTGCTCAAGGTCATACAAAGTGGCAAATACTGGAAAGAACCACCACAGTCTGTATTAAGAATGAGAAAAGTGAATCCAAGAAATGGGACCCCATGAGGGACGGAGGATATGCTGATAGTTTAAATGTGGAAGGAGGCATGTCCAAGACAACGTAAAGATCAGGAGTGAGAATGAGGTGCTGCGCTTCCCACCACAATGGGCAGGAGAGAGGAAGTCAGGCTTGTACAAGTCTTAGAGCTACCCCAGGGAGAAAAGGTTTAGGGCCATTACCTAGCTGCTGGAGCTCATCACTGGTGTATAAAAAAGAATTACACAAATTAAATTTTATTTCATCCAGCATGATTCTGCTGTTCTCTTAGCCAAGATGTGTAATAATGACAGAAGCTTAGAAAGGAATGCCAAAGTCACTCTTGTCCCTAGCCACAGGGGAGTTCCCCCTAAATGAACGGGAGAGAAAGGACAGAAGCATCAATGACTAATATTCCCTTATTTGGAGAGAGCCAACAGAACGCAGGACTATGAGTCTCCGAGCAACTGACACAGAGGAAGATTTTATGCCATAGACTTGAGCCATGGGTTCAGGGAGAAGGTTAGGGTCATGAACCTCAACATGAGACTCAAGCTTTTCAAAGAAGAGAAGTGCAAAGAACATGAGAAGGCTTTAGCCTTCACAGTCAGACTGGCCTTAAGCTGCCTCTCCAAACTGTAACATTAAAATCCCAGCCAAACCACACAGCTGTTGGTTTTGGACCCAACTCATATTTTTCTTTTCTATCTCCAGAACTTAGCACAGTGCTGGGAACAGAGTAAACACTTAGGAGATGCCTGCTGATTGACATGATCAGACATCACACTCGGTCTCTTCAGCTGAGTTATCCCAAGAGGCGTGACGTCAGGCACGGACCTAAGAAAATCCTCCCTTAGAATCTGGCATTTTCCTGTAGTCAAACCCCATGAAGTGAGCTGCCTGGCTTTAAAATAGCAAGTTTGTAAGTGGAGAAATGCTGCAATGGCAGGTCCAACAGATGCAGGAATCATTATTCATCTAAGCAGCTCTGAGAAAACTCAACATTCCTTATGGCCTTTGCTAGTTCATGAACTTTCCTATAGTCTCCTTCAAATGAGGCAGATTAACTATAAGGATCATCAGTCCTGTTTCCAAACAAGTTCCTTATCTATCAAAAGTCATATGACAGGTGGTGTGCAGCTTTCTCTGTCCAGTGTGCTATGTGTAAGTTGGCACAACTGCCTTTCTGGAGGAAGCATATTCTACCCCACCTGCTACAAGTCGGCATTTCTGTTAAATAGCACAATCTGAAAATCACTCCCACCGAAATGCCAAACTGTCTAATATACAACGGGTAATGAGACTTGGGGCAATGCTGCTTCTGAGAAGTGGGCTTGGATTTGTCTTAAGGGGGACCTAGTGTTCTTATTAAAAACAGAAACAGTGTCAGACTGGCAAACAACTAGACTACCCCTTCCTGCTGCTCCCCCCTCCCCAATTTCATTTGATACAGCATACCCAATGAACCCCGTGAGGCTTCCTATTTTATGCACTTGGAGCGGTTACATTTACTAGGTACCTAATCCGTTAGGGTTTTACTCCCTACAAATGATGCATGCTAGGGAGCTGGTACCCAGGAGGATGCAGGCAAGAATGACACTGTTCCAAGACATCTTAGGTGACATGGTGCTATGGTTTGTTTTTTTGTTTCCCCTTTCAAAGATCTAAGTCAGTCAGTCTTCCCTAAAAGGCAGGTCTTGACGGACCTTATGATGTAAAGTACCCATGGCCATTCAAGATGAGCTGTGAGGCTCATCAGACAGAACAGCCTGGGGCTGGCAGTCTCTGGCTGAAAGAGCCAGATCATATCCTGATAGTGAAATCAGTTGCTCATACTTTCTTATACAGGGCAGCAGTTTAAAGTAGAAAGGATAAAGGTATACAGGGGTGGGGAACCTGCAGCCTCAAGGCCACAGGAGACTGTTTAGGTCCTCAAGTGCGGCCCTTTGACTGAATCCAAACTTCACAGAACAAATCACCTTAATTAAAGGATTTGTTCTATGCAGTTTGGATTCATTCAAAGGGCCGCACTTGAGGACCTAAAGGGCCACATGGCCTCAAGACCACAGGTTGCTCACTTCTGGATAGAGCATACGGTACTCCCAATAAGAGTGACCGACAGGAGAAAAGATAAGCTCCTGAAAGTCCACTCCAATCCCAAATGGACTGAATCTACCATTCTACAAATTCAGTCAAGCTTTGCTGAAGAGAAAGAAACCCAATAATGTATGTTTCACAAACAAGTTAGTTTGACAATGTCTATTCCAGGCTGCAAATTCAAAAGTGAGAGGCTCTATTTGCCTGGATATCCAGCAAACGAAAGTCTAAGGGCTGGAAGCTCACACAGTACCTGCTACTTCCAGTTATCTAGTGGCTGGCTGCAGAGGGGAGGGCAGACAGGTCAGATAGCATCAGATCAGAGGTTCAAAGCTGGAAGATCCCTCCATTTTAGGGGTCCAGGGAGAGTTACACAGGCAGTAAGGGGCAGAACCTGGATTAGAACCCAGATTCTTGAAAGCCAAATCCAGTGCTTTTCCCATTGTGCCAGGCTGCTTCTTTATATATCTTTCAAAGAAATCTTTTGGGAAAAATTTAAAACAAAAAATTCCAGCTTTTCTCGAACATAGTTTCTCTAGTCTAATTGTAAGCAGACAAAGCTGAGAAAACACCAGCATTGAAACTGATCGGCATGTGACATATGGCACAACATGCCGCAGGCCCCAACAACTTTCTCACGCAACTACGTTCTCCAAACAAGCTCATTCAGAAGTTCTCCATTGTTGAGGGGAATAAAAAACAGGAATGAATCAATGGCCTCTCTTTCTCTAATGATCTTTAGGAAGAAAGAGATCACTATTTCTTCTGGATGGCTTGGGCATTCACCAATCAGAAAACAAGGGATTAAATTAGATCAGTCTCTCAAGATCATCTCAAATTTCTACAATTTTGCGTAAGAACCTTGTACGGGACCCTGT